TTTATTCAAATATATTGCATATTGCATGGTCTTTATTTTGAAATTTCGCATGATATTTTATTTAAATAAAATTGCTGAAGTATAAATATTTAATAAATTTTGATAAATTAATATCGATGGAGTAAGAAAAAGCTTTTTGTAAAAATAAATTCTTTTTTGTTTTTTTCAATACGAGAACTTTATTTTAAATATTACGAAATAAGCGAAATATAATATTTTATAATTTTTATTTTACGATGAATCAAATATTTACGCATAATACATTATATTTGCATATTAAATTGCAAAAGCAATTAAGAAGAAATAATTTATAATTCAATCCAATAATGTTATAATTTACATTGTAATTACAATCAAGGATAATTAATTTAAATTTTTTTAAATTAAGATTATAACATCACGGAAAAATGACTTTAAAATGAAATATATAATGATACATATAATGTAATATATAATAATATTTAATGAATTAAAAATATTATTTTTTTTTATCATATTTACATTCTCTTATATCACGTAACATATTATTCCATCTTAAAATATATTTTATTTCTATTTATTACTTTCTATTATATTACTTTATTAATTACATTAGTATAAAGTTAGTCAAATATTCGATAAATATTGATCTATTTTTGAAAGAAATGAAATTAAAAAAAGAAAAAATAACTTTACATTTTTAATTTAATATTTATGTAAATTCATTTTTAATTTTATTATTATTATTTTAATAATACATAGCTATAAAAAACACTATTCATTTCAACAAACAATTTCTTTTACAATTATAATAAATTAATAACTTTAAATACAACAAGTAAACACAAAAATTTGTTGTTTATCACTATTGTATTATCAACATTAAAGTGATTAAATTAAATTTATAAAATATATTGAATACATTATACCTGAAAATAATTATGTAATAGTAACAACAGTAACAATTGTTTTATATTTGTATGTAACAATTATGTTGAAAAATAAGTAAATAAATTATAATAATTTATATAATTTTTGATTTTGCATAAAATAATTTATACCACAATTAACTTAAGAATAAGTTTTTTATATTTCGTTTTATATTTATAATTATTAAGATCAAATCATGAAATTCATGAAAAGATATTTTTAAATGCATATATTTGAAATTTTACATAACTTTATGTCAATTTATTTCTAGAATAAAATACATATAAAAAATACATATATTTTACAATAAAATTAATATTAACTTAAATATAATTTCAATTTTATTAACAGAGTTTAGTATTGAGATACTCAAACTTTCGCCATCTGTCGGTCAAAATTATTGATCTATTGATTGATTTATCCATTCTTTTACCGATTGTATCAATCATTTTTCTTTTTGTTTATCAAAAATTCTTCATTTTTTCTTTTTCATTAAGAACAATTATTTTTTTACTTAAAAGTTATAGAAAATAGTTCTTTACATTTTTGATAAGATAAAAAAAATATATATGAATAATAATTTAAATATTTTTTTGCAACCAAATATACTTTATATATATGAATAAAATATCGTATTTTGATAAAATTATATAACATATATAAGTCTACAATGTATATTTATCAACTTTTTGTTATCAACATTGCATGATTCAACTGCCATTTATAATATTTTTATGAATATCATTTTTAAGTATATATTTTATTTCATTGTGATTATGTGGATATTTTACATAAATAATGAAGATAACATGAAATATCTATATTATTTTCCTACATATTATAAGTTACTATATTATTAACATTAAATAGCCAATATAAATTGATTTTATAATATAATTGATTTCAAATATAAATTCATTAATATAAATAAACAAAAAAATTGTTTTTGTAATAAGTTGTTTCAAATTTTATAATTATCGAATAAAATTATAATTGTCTGTAATTTAAATTTTATATATGCATTTATATTTATTATTTATTCGTCATTGATCAATTAATATCATATTTTTATTATATTGATATATAACAAATAATAAAAAATATTTATACATTTCACGGAAAAAAATATACATTCTATGCATACCTATCTCAAATATACTAATGTTTTATCGCATTCCACTTCTAGTTATACATATATATTCGACATATATTTTTGTAATATTTCGACATATATATTTGTAAATTTTAAGTCACCAATTTATTACAAAAAATAATTTTTTTAATCAACTTATTTTTTATTTTTATATATCTACTAACTATAAATATTTTATAATAAATATTCAAATATTTAATTTTTGAATATTTAAATTTTTATTAAATATTTTCGTATACATATAAAAAAAAATAAAAAATTTAAAAGCTAAAATAAATAAAATTATATACAAAAATAATTGAAATTTATTTTTCAAGTAATAAGCCAATTAACTAATTTAAATAAAGTGAACTAAACTGGTAAAAATAAAGTCGATTATCTATATGAAAAAGTATAAAATATTAAAATATTAAAAAATATATACTTCTGATATTAAAAAAACTTTCTATAAAATATCAATCATAAATAAATAAATATATCATATCACTTTGGATTGAATTTTAATAAACAAAAAAATTTATATTAAATTATCTATATATTATCTATTAATAAGTAATACTTATATAAATACTTTTACTTACAATTTTATTAAATTTTATGTTACTAAATTAAACTCAAAAATAATAATGTTATAACAATTATGTTATAACAATTGAAGAAAATTAAATCAATTATTTAATCGTGCAAAAAATAGCTATAATACTTTTTAAATATTTAAAACGAGTAATAATATCAATATTAAAAAATTTATATGATTAAAAATATGATGAAAAATTTATATAATTAATTTGATAAACAATGTTATCGATCAGTGATTTAAATATATTTTATAAAATAAATATACAAAAACAATATATAAACATACATATTATATAAATTTATACATATATATATACATGTATAATCATATTTCAATTTTAACACAACATAATTTGTGTTATATCTCTGTTATTAGTAATAGAAAAAATTATAGATAAAAATTATTCTTTTTATAATTTTACATATTAAAATATTTATGAAAGAAACATATTAATAAGGAATGAAAAAGATTAATTTTATCGATAAACTGAAATTACTATGTAAAATTAATAAAATTTAATATATAAAAAATTTTATTATATGATATATTAAATATATAAATCCTATAATATAAAAGTATATGAATGTCATTAATGTCAAAAATATTAATATAAAAATATCTTTTTATAAATTTTATAAATTATATTTTTTAATAATGATATATGATATATAATATCTTTTAATAATTATAAAATATATATTTTCATAAAGAGTAATATCAAATGACTTTTCACTTTTTACTAGTTGCATACTAATAAATATATAAAAAAATTTAATTGATAATATATGTAATTTGAAATTT